TTAAATTAATAAATATAAAATACACCACAAAATTTTAAATGTGTTTTTTACATTTTGCTAAAACAAATAATTCTTGTCAATTCAAAGATAAAGACTAAATGTTTTTCTAAGTGTTGATAACCTGTGTTAGTCGATTCTCAGTTTCCACAATGTCAGATTTGGCTTTAGCTATAGCTTTCTCTGCTGAGGTCTGAGCTGTCCTCGCATCCTCCAAGGCCTGTTTCACTGCCTCTGCCGTCGTCTTCACCCCCTCGGCACGGTGCCTTAAAAACAACAAAATGTTGCGACAGTGAGTCTAGTAAAAAAAAAATAAACAAATCAGTGCATTTGTTCGTTGATCACCTCGCCCTCTTGGCATCCAGCAGCAGTTTCTCTGCCTGGCGAACATCATCCTGGGTCTTCTGCAGGATGGCATCCACATTGGACAGGCTGTGGACCCGTTCCTTTATTTCATCGGCGAGGTGTTTGATTTGGAGCGGCGATGCAGGGATGGAGAGCTGCAACACTTGGTTTGCCACGGCCTCAATACTGTCTGGGTCTGCTCCTTCCTCTGTCACAAACCAGSAAGTGTCAGGGTTGGCACAGGAGGCAAAACAACAATCCCAATGTTTTCATTCATGGACTCACGGGTGAGAAACTCCCTAATCTGTTTGATGAGGTCTCTGAGGTTGTTGTTGGAGTGTTCCACTTTGTTCTTTGTGGCTGTGGCTTTATCCAGAGCAGCTTGAGCTTTGCCCTTAGCTTCCTCTGCCTGGGCCTTAGCTTCTGCAACCTGCAAGACAAAAACAGGCATATTAAAAAAAAGCATCAAAAGGTTAGAGATTGATGCTTAAAATTTTAGAAGTCTTGAGGCATTTAGAACATTGTAAAAAATGGAACATTTTAAGTGCACTATTAGGAGAATCTCCAATATTCTGTCACTCAGCAGAAGACACAGCAATAAAAAAGCAAATTAGTAGATTTTTTAATAATTAGAGTCAAACTATTTTTCTATATGTCAGGGCTACTCTACTAAACTGCTCCGAGGACCAGGGTTATTTGAAGCCCACAGCTCAGGGGTCTGACATCCACCCCACATCAGGAAGGGGGTGGGTAAATCACTGCGGCATGTAACAGAACAAGTATTAGCTTTCACTTTATGATTTGAACTCTATTTTTTTATTAAATTAAGTTTAAGGGAAAATAACGAAAATACAAATAATAAATATTAGTGCTGGGCAAAGATTAAATTTTTTAATCGCGATTAATCTCAAGATATTTTTGCGATTAATCTCAATTTTTTTTTAAACAATCACTCTGCTGTGGCTGAATGTGTTTGTATGTTGCAATACATGTGTGACACACTGTGTACATTTTTTTCCTGACAACAGAGGCCTCATCTATCTTTCACTCCTCATAATACTCATTTGGAATGACAAAATAATCCTTGAATTCTTGATTTAATTTCATTATGCTGCAAGTGATAGACTTGCGACCTGTCCAGGGTGTACCCCGCCCCTCGCACTGTGACTGCTGGATATGGGCACCAGTGACCCACGCGACCCTGAAAAGGAAGAAGCGTGTACAGAAAATGGATGGATGGATGGATGCTGCACAAAATTTAAATGGCTCGAATATGTTTAGAGCATTTTAGGTACTGTTTTATATAAAAAGGACACGTGATGAAGGCAATCTAAAGCCAATAGTGATCAAGATCCCGCCTCCCCGCAGCGAACACAGGGTTTGTGTGTGTGTGTGTGTGTGTGTGTGTGTGTGTGTGTGTGTGTGTGTGTGTGTGT